TACATCCTCAACACTATATCTCTCTTGTTCTCCCTTTTTCATTCATTCTAGTATTCTAACAAATGGGGCCTGGAACACTCAAATTCATTTTGCATTTGACATAACGCTATCAGAGTGAGAGAAGTGAATGATTGAGTAGAGGGAGAGTACAGATAGATATACCTAAGTATTGTACCCTCTAAGAGGTGACCCTATACATCTATGCAAACATAACAAATACACATGTTTGACACACCCCCTAGACTGCATAGGGGAATGTCCTAAACAAGCAGCTCAGGGCGGCACTACTAGTCCAACCTCTGAGACAAGGGTCTGAGAGACCAGTCAGAAGGAGTACAGACAAGGCAAGAACAAGAGCAGGGCGGCACTACTAGTCCAGCCACTGGGAGAGGACACAAGTCCAGTCTGAGTATACATATAAAGGACAGTACAAAGTCAAGGTCCTAGCAAGTGAGAGGCTACAGGAACTAGACCAAGCTGTACACAGTGCCGCTGATGATCTTTAGGCGCAAGCGCCTTCGTAAAGATATCAGCGTGTTGGCACCTGAGGCCAAGTGTACTACGCGAGCCTGACGTCGCTGCTGTAGCTCACGCAGGAGGAAGTACCGCAGCTGAATGTGCTTCGCTCTGCCCTCGAGTCGAGGCTCCTGACACAGGAGGATCATGGCCCTGTTGTCAGCGAACAGGACCGGGGCAGAGCTAGGCCGCTCACCTAAGTCAGTGAGCAAGAAGGTCAGCCAGCGGAGCTCCTGTGCCGCCATGGCACCAGCGTAGATCTCAGCCTCACAGCTGGACTGGCAACAGACGAGGAGGGGTAGCTCTCCACGAGACGGCACCTGAGCCAAGGCTGAAGCAGTAGCCCTGGGTAGACCTGAGTGTCTCAGCGTCGTCTGCCCACGAAGCGTCTGTGTGTCCAGTAAGGACCACTGGCCTGCGTCCTCCTAGCACTAACCCCATGCCCGATGTACTAGCAAGATAACGCAGAACCCTCTTAGCGGCAGACCAGTGCTGCGGTCGGTGTCTGCCTGTGGCCACAAAGCGAGCCAGGATGCTGAGAGGGTATGCGAGATCTGGGCGAGTGCAAGTCATCAGGTACATGAGGCAACCCACCAGCTCTGCGTAGGGGCCGCTGGGCTCTACCAACTCCTCAGACACTGGAGCGGAGAGTCTGTGGTCTACAGGCAGAGGGGTGGGCTGTGCAGAGGAGAACTGAAGGCTGAACCTCTGAAGGACCTGGCGCACCAAGTGTGACTGAGTCAGGGTGATGGTGCGCGCAGCTCTGTCCCTGGAGATCTGCAAGCCAAGGTAACGGCGCAGTTCTCCAAGGTCAGTGCACGTGTGTCTCTTCAGCAGCTCTGCCTTCACGGAGGCCAGTGCGTCCCTGTCTGCTGTGGCAAAGACCAGGTCGTCGACGTAAACAAGGATGTAGAACGGAGTCTGGCCAGCACGAACGAAGAGTGAGGGTCTGCGGAAGACGGAAAGAACTGCAGGTCAGCAAGCGTAGCACGGAGAGTGTCGTGCCACTCACGGGGAGCCTGGCGCAGGCCGTAGACGGGGCGCCGCAGGAGCCACTGGGTCCCAGGAGGGAAGGTGCCAGTAAAGCCCTGAGGGCGATGCAAGTAGACCTGCTCGTTGTAGGCTGCCCTGAAGAAAGGGCAGTGGAGAAGTCGAGGGAGTGAAGCTCGTAGTCACGCTGAGCAGCTAGGTGTAACAGAACCCGAAGAGTAGTCATCTTCGGGGTCGGAGCGAAGGTCTGGAAGAAGTCCACCCCCTCGCGCTGACTGAAGCCTCTAGCCACATAGCGCGCCTTGAACACAGGCGGCTCTCCAGGAGGGCGCTTCACCTTGAAGAGCCAGCGGCCATCGACTACGTTCACCCCAGGCGGGGGAACTGCGTCGACGAAGGTGCCGGTGGATCTCCAAGATGCCATCTCCTGCTCCATGGCAGCTATCCACTGCAAGGCCCAGGGTCCCGAAGTCGCCTCAGCGTAGGTGCGAGGGGTCGGAATGTCGAAAGCGTCTGGGTCACCCTCAGGGACTAGCAGCATGGAACAGAGGATGGGGAGCAGCCTCGGACAGGAAAGCAAGCTCGAACTGGCGGTCCTCCAGGACGTCACTGCCAAGGGCAGGAGCACCCCCGACAGACCGAGGACAGGCAAGGTCAGAGACCAGAGCGGGTGGCGTAGTCAAGGCGGTGGGTAGAGGCGAAGTCAGCGACCGCAGCGACAAGAGCGTCAAGGCAGGAGACCGGAACAGACGGGTCAGTAACGAGAGAGGCATGGACCCGAGGAACAAGAGGACGAGCGGCACGAAGGTAGTCAGACAGCGGGGGGGTGCAACAACAAGGGAGGACGGAGGAGGCGACGGCAGAAGGGGAGGACGAGACGCATGGGAACGAAGCAACATAGGGTGGGAGCGCAAGACAGGCGAGGCAGGACGAGCACGGGAGGGACGGTGAGACCAGACGTGCGACGGAGGAGTCGGGTCAGGAGACAGGGGAGGGGACACAGGAGGGGAACGAGGGGGAAGACGGGCCAGGGACGAGTCCGGCGGAGGGAACACAGGGCCGTAGACGGGAAGAGAGGAGACGATCGGAGAGGAACAGACGCAGGGTCGGGGGACGGCAGGCCGAGCAGGCGAAGGGCTGAACCACCGGCGGGACTGCTGCTGCGGCGGCACAATGGCGACACCTGGACCCGCAAGCTGCTCCTCGGCTACCACCGGCACACTCCACACCAGCACCCCCAGAGGGACCACCCCCAGGGCGACCGGGACGAGCACCCCCAGAGTCGGCGGCGGGTGCTGCGACGGCGGCGGCGGCGGCGGCGGCAGCGACAACGACGGCTGCAGCGGCGGCTGCAGCGGCGGCAGAGGCGGTGGAGGAGGGGACTGGGGAGGGGACGCCGGGGGAGGGGCGGCCGGCGAGGACTGCGCAGCAGGGCCACTAGAGTCAGAAGACTCCTCAACCGGGTCTACCGACGGGAGGAGGGTGACGTGGGACACACCAGAGGGGGCAGGACGGGGAGGAGGGGCAGGGACTACCGGGGAAGGAGTGACCAGGAACAGGGGGGGGGTAACCGGGGGACCGCGGTAGGGGAAGCGACGGTAGTAGGAGGCGGACTCGTCAAAGGTGACGTCGCGAGAGTGAAAGAAGCGGTGAGACGGCGGGTGGTAAAAGTGCCAGTCGGACGCGTCAAGGGGAAAACCGAGGGAAGACGCAGGGAAGGGTGCGGGCAGTGAGCTTGTCCGTGCCGGAGGCACGGACGTGAGCAAGGCAGCCCCAGACATGGAACGCAGACGCGTCACCAGGAGACCCAGTCCAAAGACGGGTCGGCGAAACCTGCGGCTGCTGAGGGTGCGGCCACAAGTTAAGCTGGTGAGAAGCGTAGCGCACAGCAAACGGCCACAGAAAATGGGGTGCACCGGCATGGATCATGGAGGTGCGAGCCACCTGCATGACCAAACCGATGCGTCGCTCAGCGACCCCATTCTGCTGTGGGGAGTCCGGTAGTGTGAACGTCTGGGTGATGCCCTCCGCACGACAAAAGCGACCCAAGGACACCTGAGGCAAACTCGCCACCACGGTCGGAGTGAAGACGCAAGACAGGGAGACCGCGGTGGACACGCGTAGAGACAAGCCAGGGGATGAGAGCGCCAGGCACGTCAGCCTTGCGCTCCAAGGGAAAGACTGTGGTGTAACGAGTGAAGTCGTCGACAAGCACAAGGAAGTAGCACTCTCGACGCGGCCCAGGGACGGGGGCGGGGCCCCAGACGTCCAGGTGCAGGGTCTGCAGCGGCGCGGCGGTAGGGGGAAACGAGGAGGAGTGAGGGGCACGGCGAAGCCGACCCTCGGACACAAGGCGTGCAAGGTGGGGCAGGGGAGGAGGGAAACGCGGGGGAGAGAACCTGGGAGACAAGGACAAGACCGTGCTGGGACATGTGACGCAGTCGCGGGAGCGCAGGGTGACCTAGGCGGTGGTGCCAAAGGAGAGTCGGGTGAGTGAGGGACCGACAGGAGCAGGCAGCAGCAACCTGGGTGAGCGCTCCAGCCGGGGGGGTCACGGTGTCCAGCGTGAACAGGCCGGGACACCGGGTCCCGGGGGAACGTGGACAGGGGGGCACCAGTGGCGGCCTCGGTACAGACAGCATACCGCTCGTGACCAGGGAACGTAGTGGTGACGCCAAGGTCCTAGAGGCAGCCGACACCAACTAGGTTCCTGGAGAACGAGGGGATATGCAGACCTGTGAGAGTGCCCGAAGGAACCGCCGGACAGGGAAGGGTGGTGGAACTGCGGGCGACTACCGGACCGCCAGAGGGGTTAGCAAGAGAAACGGCAGCAAGAACAGGAAGCGGCGTCAGGGTGGTGAAGTCGCGGAAGAAACACCAAGAAGCGCCAGAGTCCAAGGTGAAGGAAAGCGAAGCAGAGGCGTCTGGCGACGGAAAGACAGCAGAAGCACCAAGACTACACCAAAGCAGAGGATCCTACGCCTGACGCAGCAGGGAGGCTAAGTTAGGCACACCTACACGAGCCGATAGTGAGTAATAAGCGGGAAGCGCACTAGAGTCATCAGCATACATCACATGCAGAGCAGAAACAATGGCATCCATGTCCAAGTCAAAAATCTGAATCTTACGACTAAGCAAACTGTGCTTGCCCGGGAGATCTGGCGACGGGCCGAAGCGCTGACGAAAGAGGTCGTCCAGGCGACGAAAACAGTAGGGAGTGGAGTGACCGATCTTACCGCAAACGAAGCCGCGGCGAGGACCGGTCTGGATCTGGTACTGACAACGCACGCCTCCAGAGCCACCACTCGGCACACCACCACGCGCCCGGCCACCACCAGCGCCGGGCCACCCGGGCGGGAGGACACTCGTCGGCCGTGTCTGCGACGGCTGCTGCGGCTGCTGCGAAGGCTGCGACTGCGGCGGCTGCTGCGGCTGCTGCAACTGCAGGGGCGGCGGCTCAGCTGGACTGGGCAGGGTCCCCTCGTCCGCTCCAGCACCAGACGACCCGACTCCACCACCACCCCCTCCCGCACCCCCGCCTCCCCCGCCGCGGCCCAACCTTGGGGCGGCGGCCCTTCCCCGAACGAAACTGCGCTGCAGCAGCAGTCTCAGCCACTGCGGCAGAGCCGTCGGAGAAGGTACACTGAGCGGGGGCACAACCCTGAAAGATAGGGACCGGCGCGGTACCGCTCGCCTGGGCGATGGAGCGGTGGCGGGTCTCAATCACAGTCAGGGTGTCTACAAAGTGAGTGAGGGTGAGGTCTGCGGGGTGAATGCTAAGAAAGCGGTCGCGGGCGACAACAAGGCGGTCAGGGAGGCGGGTGGCAAGCAGGTAAAGGGTAGAGGTAATGGGCGGCTGGTGGGCTCTAAGCTGTGCGTCAGTGCAGGCAGCGCGCCAGGGTCTCATCTATCGAGCGCAGGTGGGCAGCGAGGTCAGAGACAGTGGGGAAGGATGCAAGGTCAGGAAAAGAGCATGGGGAGGATCAGGCGACCCACCGAGGCAGCCGGAGGGGTGGAATAGCGCTTGATGACAGCATCTAAGTATGCCTGAGCAGTAGTGAGGGACCTAAAGCGAGGGCGCTTGGACGGGGGAAGGGCGTTGCTAATAGCAAGCTGGGCGACAGCATCGTGAGAAAGCCAGACAGAGCGCGCACGGTAGTGGCAGCAGTAGACTCGCGCTCAGTGGTTGTGGAGTCAGCGGGCAGAATAGCAGGGGGGTCTGGGCAGGGGAGCGTACCGTCAAGGTGTGCAGAAAGCGGTTCACCATCCTGCCGCTGGCCAGTGAGTTGGCGCCGGAGGTCGGCAAGCCACGCCTCAAACTCCAGGGGCTGGCCTTCCAGCGTCGAAGCGAAGCTCCGCCGCCATCAGGGGCAGTGCAGGACGGAACAGTACGGTGCAGTGAAGTGCAGTGCAAAGCAGAGCAGTGCAGGGCGGTGCAGTGCAGGGCTGGGCAGTACAGTGCAGTGCGGGGCGGTGCAGGGCAGTGCAGTGCGGTGCAAGGCAGTGCAGTGCGGAGCAGGGCGGTGAAGGGAGGGGGGGGGGGAACCGTACCAGTGAGGATGAAGGGGCTGGGGCAGGGAGGAGCGCAGGGGCCGGGGCCGGTGCAGCAGGGCCAGCAGACGCGGCGAGGCCTGGCAGGGCGCAACGGGGCCGGGCGGGTGCGACGGGGCCGGGCCGGTGCAACGGGGCCGGGCGGGTGCGACGGGGCCGGGCGAGTGCGACGGGGCCGGGGCGGGGCGCGACGGGGCCGGGCAGGTGCGAACAGGGCCGGGCGGGTGCGACGGGGCCGGGCGGGCGCGACGGGGCCGGGCGGTTGCGTCGGGGCCGGGCGGGTGCGACGGGGCCGGGCAGGTGCGACGGGGCCGGGCAGGGGGCAACGGGGCCGGGCAGGGCGCGACGGGGCTAGGGGGGTCGCGACGGGGCTAGGGGGGTCGCGACGGGGCTAGGGGGGTCGCGACGGGGCCTAGGGGGTCGCGACGGGGCCCAGGGGGTCGCGACTGGTCTAGGGGGTCGCAACGGGGCCCAGGAGGGGCGAGGCCGGGCTAGGGGCACGACGGGGCCCCAGGGGGTCGCGACGGGGCTAGGGGGGGAGGCACGGCGGGGGCCTAGCTAGGGGACGAGCGGAAGCGGTAGGCGGGGGGGGATCCTAACCTACGCGTGATACCATATAAAAGTGAGAGAAGTGAATGATTGAGTAGAGGGAGAGTACAGATAGATATACCTAAGTATTGTACCCTCTAAGAGGTGACCCTATACAGTCTATGCAAACATAACAAATACACATGTTTGACAAACGCATGGGCGTTATATTTTTCCGGGCCATTGTGAACACCCACTAATTTTTTGAGTGAATTTTCTTACCCACCATAGGGCGTTATATACGGGGGATTACGGTATATCCGGGGGGTTACGGTATATCCGGGGGATTATGGTATATCCGGGGGATTACGGTATATCCGGGGATTACGGTATATCCGGGGGATTACGGTATATCCGGGGGATTACGGTATATCCGGGGGATTACGGTATATCCGGGTGATTACGGTATATCCGGGGGGTTACGGTATATCCGGGGGGTTACGGTATTCCGGGGGTTACGGTATATCCGGGGGATTACGGTATATCCGGGGATTACGGTATATCGGGGGATTACGGTATATCCGGGGGATTACGGTATATCCAGGGGGTTACGGTATATTCGGGGGATTACGGTATATCCGGGGGATTACGGTATATCCGGGGGATTACGGTATATCCGGGGTATATCCGGGGATTACGGTATATCCGGGGTATATCCGGGGATTACGGTATATCCGGGGGATTACGGTATATCCGGGGGATTACGGTATATCCGGGGGATTACGGTATATCCGGGGGATTACGGTATATCCGGGGGATTACGGTATATCCGGGGGATTACGGTCTATCCAGGGGAATACGGTATATCCGGGGGATTACGTGTCAAACATGTGTAGTCGTTATGTTTGTATAGACTGTATAGGGTCACCTCTTAGAGGGTACAATTCTTAGGTATATCTTTCTGTACTCTCTCACTAGTCATTATTCACTACTCTCATTCTGATATGGTATCACGCGTAGGTTAGGATCCCCCACTAGCGCTTCCGCTCGTCCCTTAGCCCCGTCGCGACCCCCTAGCCCCGTCGCGCCCCCCCCCCCCCCCCCCTGGCCCCCGTCGTGCCCCTAGCCCTGCCGCGCCCCTCCCGGGCTTCGTCGCGACCCCTAGCCCCGTCGCGACCCCCTAGCCCCGTCGCGACCCCCCCCTGGGCCCCGTCGTGCCCCTAGCCCTGCCGCGCCCGTCCTGGGCCCCGTCGCGACCCCCTAGCCCCGTCGCGTCCCGCCCGGCCCCGTAGCACCTGCCCGGCCCCGTCGCGCCCGCCGGCCCCGTCGCGCCCGCCCGGCCCCGTCGCACTCGCCCGGCCCCGTCGCGCCCTGCCCGGCCCCGTCGCGCCCGCTCGGCCCCGTCGCACCGCCCGGCCCCGTCGCGCCCTGCCGGGCCCCGTTGCGCCCGCCCGGCCCCGTCGCACCCGCCCGGCCCCCGTTGCGCCCTGCCCGGCCCCGTCGCGCCCCGCTCGGCCCCGTCGCGCTCTCCGGGCCCTGTCGCGCCCTGCCCCGGAACCTGCATCCTCACTGGTACGGTTTCCCCCTCCTTGCACCACCCTCCACCGCACTGCACTGCACTGCATCGCACTGCACCGCCTTGCACCGCCCCTGCACCGCACTGCACTGCCCTGCATCGCCCTGCACTGCATTGCACCGCCCTGCACCGCACTGCACTACCCTGTTCTACACTGCACCGCACTGCACCGCACTGTACAGTCCTGAACTGCCCCTGATGGCGGCGGAGCTTCGCTTCGACGCTGAGGCCAGCCTCTGGAGTTCGAGGCGTGGCTTGCCGACCTCCGGCGCCAACTCACTGGCCAGCGGCAGGATGGTGAACCGCTTTCCACACACCTTGACGGTACGCTCCCCTGCCCAGACCCCTCTGCTGTTCTGCCCGCTGACTCCGCACCCACTGAGCGCGAGTCTACTACTGCCACTGCCCGTGCGCGCTCTGTCTGGCTTTCTCGACATGCTGTCGCTCAGCTTGCCATTAGCAACGCCCTTCCCCCGTCCGAGCGCCCTCGCTTTAGGTCCCTCACTACTGCTCAGGCATACTTAGATGCTATCATCAAGCGCTATTCCACCCCTCCGGCTGCCTCGGTGGGTCGCCTGATCCTCCCGATGCTCTTTCCTGACCTTGCGTCTTTCCCCACTGTCTCTGACCTCGCTGCCCACCTGCGCTCGATAGATGAGACCTGGCGCGCTGCCTGCACTGACGCACAGCTTAGAGCCCACCAGCCGCCCATTACCTCTACCCTTTACCTGCTTGCCACCCGCCTCCCTGACCGCCTTGTTGTCGCCCGCGACCGCTTTCTTAGCATTCACCCCGCAGACCTCACCCTCACTCACTTTGTAGACACCCTGACTGTGATTGAGACCCGCCACCGCTCCATCGCCCAGGCGAGCGGTACCGTGCCGGTCCCTATCTTTCAGGGTTGTGCCCCCGCTCAGTGTACCTTCTCCGACGGCTCTGCCGCTGTGGCTGAGACTGCTGCTGCAGCGCAGTTTCGTTCGGGGAAGGGCCGCCGCCCCAGGTTGGGCGCGGCGGAGGAGGCGGGGGTGCGGGAGGGGGTGGTGGTGGAGTCGGGTCGTCTGGTGCTGGAGCGGACGAGGGGACCCTGCCCAGTCCAGCTGAGCCGCCGCCCCTGCAATCGCAGCAGCAGCAGCAGCCGCAGCGGCCGCCGCAGTCGCAGCAGCCGCAGACGCGGCAGACGAGTGTACTCCCGCCCAGGTGGCCCGGCGCTGGCGGTGGTCGGGCGCGTGGTGGTGTGCCGAGTGGTGGTTCTGGAGGCGTGCGTTGTCAGTACCAGATCCAGACCGGTCCTCGCCGCGGCTTCGTTTGCGGTAAGATCGGTCACTCCACTCCCCGCTGTTTTCGTCGCCTGGACGACCTCTTTCGTCAGCGCTTTGGCCCGTCGCCCGACCTCCCAGACTGGCACAGTTTGCTTAGTCGTCAGATTCAGATTTTTGACGTGGACATGAATGCCATTGTTTCTGCTCTGCATGTGATGTATGCTGATGACTCTAGTGTGCTTCTTGCTTATTACTCACTGTTGGCTAGTGTAGGTGTGCCTAGCTTGTCCTCCCCTGCTGCGTCAGGCGTAGGATCCTCTGCTTTGTTTTAGTCTTGGTGCTTCCGCCGTCATTCCGTCGCCAGACCCCACTGCTTCGCTTTCCTTCACCTTGGACTCTGGCGCTTCCCGGTGCTTCTTCCGCGACTTCACGACGCTGACACCGCTTCCTGTTCCTGCTGCCGTTTCTCTTGCTGACCCCTCCGGCGGTCCGGTAGTCGCCCGCAGTTCCACCACCCTTCCTTGTCCGGCGGTTCCTTCGGGCTCTCTTACAGGTCTGCACATCCCCTCGTTCTCCAGGAACCTAGTTGGTGTCGGCTGCCTCTAGGACCTTGGCGTCACCACTACGTTCCCTGGTCACGAGCGGTATGCTGTCTGTACCGAGGCGCCACTGGTGCCCCCCTGTCCACGTTCCCCCGGGACCCGGTGTCCGGCCTGTTCACACTGGACACCGTGACCCCCCCGGCCGGGGCGCCCCCTCAGGTGGTTGCGTCTACCCAGGTTGCTGCTGCCTCCTCCTGTCGGTCCCTCACTCACCCGACTCTCCTTTGGCACCACCGCCTAGGTCACCCTGCGCTCCCGCGACTGCGTCACATGTCCCAGCACGGTCTTGTCCTTGGTCTCCCAGTTTCTCTCCCCGCGTTTCCCTCCTCCCCAGCCCCACCTTGCACGCCTTGTATCGAGGGTCGGCTTCGCCGTGCCCCTCACTCCTCCTCGTTTCCCCCTACCGCCGCGCCGCTGCAGACCCTGCACCTGGACGTCTGGGGCCCCGCCCCCGTCCCTGGGCCGCGTCGCGAGCGCTACTTCCTTGTGCTTGTCGACGAATTTACTCGTTACACCACAGTCTTTCCCCTGGAGCGCAAGGCCGACGTGCCTGGCGCTCTCATCCCCTGGCTTGTCTCTGCGCGTGTCCACCGCGGTCTCCCTGTCTTGCGTCTTCACTCCGACCGTGGTGGCGAGTTTGCCTCAGGTGTCCTTGGTCGCTTTTGTCGTGCGGAGGGCATCACCCAGACGTTCACCCTACCGGACTCCCCACAGCAGAATGGGGTCGCTGAGCGACGCATCGGTTTGGTCATGGAGGTGGCTCGCACCTCCATGATCCATGCCGGTGCACCCCATTTTCTGTGGCCGTTGCTGTGCGCTACGCTTCTCACAGCTTAACTTGTGGCCGCACCCTCAGCAGCCGCAGGTTTCGCCGACCCGTCTTTGGACTGGGTCTCCTAGTGACGCGTCTGCGTTCCACGTCTGGGGCTGCCTTGCTCACGTCCGTGCCTCCGGCACGGACAAGCTCACTGCCCGCACCCTTCCCAACGTCTTCCTCGGTTTTCCCCTTGACGCGTCCGACTGGCACTTTTACCACCCGCCGTCTCACCGCTTCTTTCACTCTCGCGACGTCACCTTTGACGAGTCCGCCTCCTACTACCGTCGCTTCCCCCACCGCGGTCCCCCGGTTACCCCCCCCCTGTTCCTGGTCCCTCCTTCCCCGGTAGTCCCTGCCCTCCTCCTCCTCCTCCCCGTCCCGCCCCCTCTGGTGTGTCCCACGTCACCCCTCGTCCGTCGGTGGACCCGGTTGAGGAGTCTTCTGACTCTGGTGGCCCTGTTGCGCAGTCCTCGCCGGCCGCCCTCCCCCGGGGTCCCCTCCCCAGTCCCCTCCTCCACCGCCTCTGCCGCCGCTGCAGCCGTCGTTGCCCGCCGCCGCCGTTGCAGCACCCGTTCGCTGCCTCTGGGGGTGCTCGTCCCCGGTCGCCCTGGGGGTGGTCCCTCTGGGGGTGCTGGTGTGGAGTGTGCCGGTGGTAGCCGAGGAGCTGCTTGCAGTCCCACTGTCGCTGTTGTGCCGGCGCAGCAGCAGTCCCCGCCGGTGTCAGCCCTTCGCCTGCTCCGCCTTCCGTCCCCCGACCCTGCGTCTGTTCCTCTCCGACCGTCTCCTCCTCTTCCCGTCTACGGCCCTGTCTTCCCTCCGCCGGACTCGTCCCCGGCCCGTCTTCCCCTCGTTCCCATCCTGTGTCCCCTCCCCTGTCTCCTGACCCGACTCCTCCGTCGCACGTCTGGTCTCACCGTCCTCCCGTGCTCGTCCTGCCTCGCCTGTCTTGCGCTCCCACCCTATGTTGCTTCGTTCCCATGCGTCCCGTCCTCCCCTTCTGCCGTCGCCTCCTCCGTCCTCCCTTGTTGGTGCACCCCCCCCGCTGTCTGACTACCTTCGTGCCGCTCGTCCTCTTGTTCCTCGGGTCCTTGCCTCTCTCGTTACCGACCCGTCTGTTCCGGTCTCGTGCCTTGACGCTCTTGTCGCTGCGGTCGCTGACTTCGCCTCTACCCGCCGCCTTGACTACGCCACCGCTCTGGTCTCTGACCCTGCCTGTCCTCCGTCTGTCGGGGGTGCTCCTACCCTTGGCAGTGACGTCCTGGAGGACCGCCAGTTCGAGCTTGCTTTCCTGTCCGAGGCTGCTCCCCATCTCTGTTCCATGCTGCTAGTCCCTGAGGGTGACCCAGACGCTTTCGACATCCCGACCCCTCGCACTTACGCTGAGGCGACCTCGGGACCTTGGGCCTCTCCGTGGATAGCTGCCATGGAGCAGGAGATGGCATCTTGGAGATCCACCGGCACCTTCGTCGACGCAGTTCCCCCGCCTGGGGTGAACGTAGTCGATGGCCGCTGGCTCTTCAAGGTGAAGCGCCCTCCTGGAGAGCCGCCTGTGTTCAAGGCGCGCTACGTGGCTAGGGGCTTCAGTCAGCGTGAGGGGGTGGACTTCTTTTAGACCGTTGCTCCAACCCCGAAGATGACTACTCTTTGGGTTCTGTTACACCTAGCTGCTCAGCGTGACTACGAGCTTCACTCCCTCGACTTCTCCACTGCCTTCCTTCAGGGCAGCCTACACGAGCAGGTCTACTTGCGTCGCCCTCAGGGCTTTACTGGCACCTTCCTCCTGGGACCCAG